TGTAATAGCGTGCCTTACATGTTAAAATTAAGCTAATAGTTCTGGAAATAATGATTATTTTAAAAAACGGGTGTGTTTTTGTTATTTGTGGATGGCATCGCAGGTTTTTGAGCATAGTTCTTTGCCTTTTTCATTTGTAATGAGCATGTTGCAAAAATAGCAAGTATTTCAAAACATTGCAAAGTTTGTTTTGACAGGAGTGGAACATCTCTAGAACGAAGGAATGCTTTAATCAGTATTACCCCTTTGAGGCCCACGTTGCGCTCTGATATCTCTTGGTTTGAAACTGGGAATACTCTGTAAAGATACAATAAAGGTCAGAATTTGTTAGGTTCTTTCATATTCAGAACTCTGTTCCCTGCTGTGAGAAAGAAAAGTGATAGATTCAGAAACACTGTTCAGCTCAGTATTAAAGATTAGCTGGAAGGTGCTGGTGAAGGCAGAACAATAAAAGCTTGCCTTATTACTTGTTCTTGTACTTTGCAGCCAAATATGGCTATGGAGTTTGATTAATTTCAAGAGATGCTTATTTTTTATAGCACTTAAAAACCCACAACATACAGAGCCTATTAAAATATTTGGAAATATTCTGCACTGATTTCAGTCTAATGACAACCTGCCTAAAGGTGTGGGAGAACCACTGCTGCAAGAAACTTGTCTGTGGTACGTTAAATTCAGTGAATGAGACTCTGATAGAGCCTCCTAAAAGTATGAATCTGATTTACTCTTGTCTCTGCCTATGAGCAGCTAGGGATGAATTTCACAGGAAGCATTGATCCCTGGCTGAACTGTATGTGCACAGGGAGAAGCTCTGTATAGAAGATAACAATCCTGTGTGTGATGGTACTAATAACCCAGCCACTGTCACTTTCACAACAGCAAAACTCCTGATTCAAGCTGAAAAGGTTTTCAAAATGGGTAAGCGTGATCTTCCCTGTGTAGTGAAAGACTTGTTGAGTTCAGAGGTAACATAGTTCTTTACTTGGGTGTTTCTGTGGCAGATGTGGGAATTCGGCTCAGAGTACCTATGCACACTAGTTGCTGTAGTTGCACAGGTAGGTTTTTTTTAATTCAGACTATATATGAGAAGAAAGGAATTTGAATTTTATTTCTGAAATAACTTTGCTGCCTTTCCATGTGTGTTTTCCTGGTGAAACAAGAGACTCTGCTCCTGATCTAAATGAGAATAATAAGCATTTCCCTAACTTGGGTATTGCAGATATCCCAGAGTTGTTCTGGTCTGTGTGGGTGTTGTAGCTCTGCACACAGGCAGTGCTGGGGAGAGTAGGAAGAAATGTTGTTCTGGTATCACTGAAGTAGACTGATATTCAAGTGAAGTGTTTTGATTTTCAGGAATAGAATGGGAAGATGCTTACTTAGTCATAATCTTCTCTATGGTTTTGCAACCTTTATAACTTTAAAGGCATTATTCTACCACCTGATGATTAATACTGAATCTGAACAGTATTTTGTATTTTCAGCAGGACAAATGCCAAAGAAAGCTTCTGATTAATAGTCTCCGATTAGACTATTCTTGTCAAATTGACTGATGTAATGCAATGGTGAGCCCTGACTGATTGCACTGGAAGCCTTGTGCGGTTTTCTAGAAGATGCTCATTACAGGAGATTCCTACGTAATGTTGGACAGGCCCTACAGAGAATTGGGCTTGTCAGTCTTTTATCATGACAGTTATTTAAAAATTAATGCATCAGTTTTGAAACGCAGAGACCTGCTTGTTCGTACATTTGCTGACAACACTACAGTAATGATAGGTAAATGTGCAAGGTAGACTTCATAAAATCAGCTCAGGCATGGACTGCTCCACAGACCTATTAATATAATGGAACAGACTAATGCACAGAAAATCAAATACGGACTATAATGCACTCATCCGTATTATAAACCCTGTCATTCTGCTTTGATCGAAGGTCGTTTTAAGGCATTATCTGAAACGACAGTTTTAGCCTACGAAGCAGACCCCTGCTAACGTGGAAGGCAAGGCCATAACTTTAGAGCCCACACGTTATTATTTGCTCTGAGCTTGTCATGCAGTGACCCAGAATAACTGATCGCAAGAACAGCTATGGCTGGAGGCCGTCCCTGGCACCAGGACTCTGAAGCATGAAGACTTCGGGGAGCAAGAGTGGGAATGATCTTTGTGTTCCCTCCTGCCCACTGTGTGCTGCTGTCCGCCCGTGCTCAGCTCCTTTACTCGCTGTCACTGAAGTGCTAGCATGTCTTCTGCTTCAGCTGCTCTGGTAGCTCTCCTGGCAGATTTGAGAAAAGCAGCAGCATTGCGAAGTTGAAGGTAGGGAAGTGTCTTACACACTGGTGCTCAGTGGGGACTTCCAAAACTGTCTTCAAAAACTTCACATAATGAATCACTGTTTCTTCTGCAGCTGCATATTTTTAAGCAGGAAAATGAATCAGCGCTGTTTCCAACCAAGTCAGTTCTTGTACAGAAATCTGGCAAATGTGTGGGAATTACTTGGAGAGCTGTGCTGTCCATTGTGTGCATCTTGCATGCACATGGGAGATATCCATGGAAAGCCTTGTTGGGCTCTTTGAATGAGTCCTGCCTGCTCTTGGTGTTCTGTGAAGTTACTCTGTGCAGTCTGCTAAAAATTATTAACTATTAACAAAACTCTTATCCATACATAGAGGCCTTTCACTGGCAATTAAAACCAGCCAGATCTGGGACAGCGTCAGTTTGGCATGCTCCTAGGCTGGATGTGGTGTTACTGAGCATGGAAACATAATAATCTCCATGTGTTATTTTTCCTGTGTCGTAGTTTGTATAGAATTTGCAAAAATGTAATTTCACATTAGGGTACTCTTCACATTGAAAGTGAAGTAATTTCTTATTTGAATGACCTGCAAGCACAAACTGAGTTTATCACACAGGGCAGCTGATTAGTGAAAGTCCTGGGGGACCAAATAAATGAACCAGTCAGGGCAGTGGTCCCCTTTCTTGGTTACTTGTTCTATTTCGGTAAGTAGAGTTTTATATACATATTCCTGTAACGTCTTATATTTCACACCAATGCCATAGGATTAATTTCACACTATATGCTACATTTCTGAATAGCTCTGAGTAAAAATCATTGAAGTTCAGTAGACTCAAGGTTTGGGCATATAAATGTGTGACGAAAATGTAGAATAAAGATTGAAGGGTGTTGGTTTGAGGGGTGGGGGGTGTTTTTGTTTGGAGGTAAGCTGCCTAGTTTTCAACCTAGAGAAGGAAAATGCCTTGAGTATTTAAAGTGGAGTAGCTGGTGCAACATGACCCCAGTTTACCCCACAGAAAACTTAGGGCTTCAGAACACTGATACGGTAGTGACTTTAGTAATGGAGTAAACTGGGAGGATCTGGTGCATATGACATCCTTACTTCCAGCAAGACCTACGTAAGGGAGGGATTTTTGTATTTCTCCAATTTGAGGCTTCTGTTAGGATGCTGATGTACTGAGAATGAGTGTTGTCTGGCTCCTCAGGTGCTGCTCTCCATCTAACTGTTCCTCTGTGTCTTGGTTTATATACATGTTGTGAATTCTTTGGGGCAGTAAACATCTTTTTGTCCTGTGAGGACAGGCCTTACATGGTGCCTGTATCCAAGGGATCCTGGCCTGTGTTTAGGTTTTCTGGATGGCAGAGGAATGCAGTTAAGAATTGAACTCACATATATACTTAGTGTGACATTGTCTTAGCTAGAGGGACCCCAAAGTGATTTTGCTCAGATACCGCACTGACAGCAGCAGCTTTGCGCTGGGTCATCTGTGCACTTGGTGGGGGTTGATTTTTGCCTTTTGGGAAGCTGTTGCTTTCTGCCCCAGAACTCATTTGTTTCCTACAGTGTGCAAACCCCGCCTTAGGAACATTGGGGTAATGTGGTGGCTGTTCTTCCCCCTCCACCTCTAACACCATCCTTCATCTGCTTATTAGTCTTCCAGCTGCCTGCAGTCAGCATTTCAAATGGAGAAGTTGTAAACTGAATGTTACAGGCAAATTAAACATTTGCCATCTTGTGAGGGAAGGCCTTTAATTAGGAGAAGGGTATACTGGAATGCCAAAAGCAAAAAAAAAAAAAATTGACAGGGGATGGGCAAGTAGGGGAAGCAGGAGAAAAGAGAGCATATAAAGTCCTTGGATGTTTTAATAAATGATATATCTGAGGATTATTTGATGTAGTTGAGACTGCCAGGATGTCTTGTATTTTCAGTACCACAACTGAAACTTATTTAGGATTTAAAAAAGAACCTTTTTAAGGTAAGGAATTTATTAATAATTTCCTGTAACTTCTGTCCAAAATGCTGGAGTAAATTTCTTTTGATAAAATACAGACTTCTGGAAGTACATAGGAATACCACAGCTTCTGATGTGACTGCAAGTTTGAGCAGTGTTTTAAAGTTTGGAATGATTATCTTGGTTCTTTCAGAAAGTTTTTGAATACCTGTCTGGTGCTGGGCTTGTTACTTCCATTTCTCTGCTGCAGTAAATGGTCTCCTGAACTCTTAAAAAGGGTACCCCGTCATATCTGGAGCCGCTCTGTCACACTGCTAGTGCAGTGTGTGTCAGGTGAACGTTCAATTGATAAGCTGTCACAGGAGTCTTGTTTTAGCAGAGCACATTCATGACATCTAACTTGCAGTTTGAATGTGGTTGAGTGAATCAAAGGAGGATGATCCTTTACAATTGCTCTGTCCGTCTGAGACACTCTGAAGGTGCTTGGAAGACTGGAAGGGGAAGAAAACGTTCCTCAAGTTTCAGAAATGAAGAAGATATTTTCAGTAATGTTCACCAGTCCTTTGGCTCTATATGCGATGATGTATTTGGTTCTATGCCTTCGAAACCATTATTTGTTTCCAGATTTTTTTGCCAATCTCTTCTAATTAGTTATTCGTGCTCAACCTAATCCTTGAATGAAGTCAAACGTCTGTGTAATACAGGTTGCACAGTCACTTTTTTGAGACAATAACTCCTTGTTTGTTTGTTTTTTACAGTGGGAACTCCATACTATATGTCCCCAGAAAGAATACATGAAAATGGCTATAACTTTAAATCTGATATCTGGTCTTTGGGCTGTTTATTGTATGAGGCAAGTATCTTCTAACTTTTTTTCTCAGGTTTGTCTTAACCACACAATATGGTACAGGAATTGAGTTGGTCAGACTTACTTTAATTGTTGAGAAATCTTATGAAAAGTTAACTCTTTTTGTGCTCATCATGTGCTTTTTAAGCAGGAGCAACAAAGTGATTGTGCCATACAGCACAGTACTTACATAAAGTTAATTTAGTAGGTCACAGTAGATGTTGAGGATATAGACCTAAGCAAGCTAGCTTACTGCATTATTTCTTCCTACTGTGAGCAGAGCTGTTAGGGCAGCATATTCATAGTTTCTTCTGAGTACTGCATTTGTTTTAAAAATAGCAAATTCATTTGAATCTAAGCTACTGGTTTGTTAAATTGAGTTCTGACCAATTGGAGTATATTAATTTTGGGAGCTTTCAATAAAGAAAAATAGAGTTTTTATGTAATGTGAAATCAGTTCCTGTAACTTTATTAGGCTATAGATGGAATTTTTTCTAATTGTACATTGTCTTCTAGCCAAACGCACAAATACAAAGCAGGCACACTTTGTATGAGCTACACGCTTAGTGTGCAACTTTTTCTTAAAAGCTATTATATCTATTTTGAAAACAAGCGCCATGATTTTGTAACAGTACTTTGAGTTTTCTGATTTCATTTTTAGCAGGGATCAAAGGGTATTGAACAGTCTTGTACTCATTTATAATCTAATCTTAATCTTTTTTTAGATGTATGCATCTTTGAATTCAAGTGAAAGTGCATGTCAACATTTAGAAGGTTTTTATCCTAGCTCAGAGAATTAAAAATCCCTGGGATATTTAGCAATAAGAATATTGCTCACATTCTCTTTGGATAACAAATTATGTGAACTGATGACATTTTGCTTCTCACTACAATGTCTCATAAACACATGGAATTAGAGAATAAACAGGGATGTAATTTATTTTGTGAGCGCATCAGATGTGAAAAGTACTATAGTTAAGCATGTACTTCAGCTAGTTGATTAAACAAACCTTTTAGGACAAGATGGTATAAAAGTAAATTTTCCCATAACATTGGTTTTCCCAGCAGGAGTTCAGTGCTTGTCACTGTTACATATTTCGGGGAAGAGCACTCATTTAATACAGCTAAATGCTTGTTCAGCGAGGTAACCCACTGTTGTTGGTGTGTTACCAGGCCCTGAGTCATACACTTCAATAGATGCTGATTTACTGTTGGCCGAGTGTGAAAGTGCCATGTGGTGTGCATCTTCAGTGAGAGAGATTGGTGCTGGGAACTCAGCGAAATAAATCAATAAAATCCTGCTGAAGGGACTTAAGCAGTCTTGGGGGTTCGACTCCAACAGCCCTTTGCTTCTCGCATGTGAGACAGTTGGTGGCCCAGCTGGCCCAGATATAGTTACGGCCTTGAGTGTGGTTGAAAAAATGCTCTTGCTGGGGGGGAACCCACAACTGTCCATTCTCTTTATACTCCTACCAGTGTCCATCCAAAGACTGTATCTCCGCAGTGCTTCAGACAGCCTGCTAACAACTGCTGACTGTCCTGTACACTTGACATGGCATAGAGTTAAAGGAGGATTTAAGGAAAAATGAATCTAAGGAAAATAAATCTAAAGAAAAAGATTTATCTGGGAGTCTGGCATAAATGCCACATAAGTCACCCTGAGCAGTGTAAAATCCCAGTGTTGGCCTTACGAGTATCAGAGCAAATAGCCAGTAGATCTGCTGAAGGGAAGATCCACTTTGGTGGAGACACTGGAGCCCAACATGGTTGTATCACTGTTTTATTGTTAAAATTATGTGGGATAGGAGGGAGAGGAGGAGTGTAAGACACCCTACTAAGTACTTGATGAAAAATACTTGGAAAATTGTGAGCTTAAATTGAGTGGCTTTGTGCCTATCCTCAAATTCTCGTTACCTCTAGTGAAAGAATTCAAGAGACCTTTAATAATTCCCAAAGCAGCAGCAACATACCATTAAAAAGCTGGTATTTTTTTTATAAAGGATGGTTTTGCTTGTAATGCTTCTAATGAGATACTAAAAACTGGAATGGTACAGTATAGCTATATGTACCTGGATGTGCTGGTGGTGTTTGAAAAGGAATTTGGAGACTCTTCTGTGGGAACAGGGGGAAAGAAGCCTGAGCTCCCAATAATTCATTATGCTGAACAATTCCAGGTGTGCTTCATGTATTGGGCCTAACAGGGAATTCTCAGGTTGAGGCTTTCAGTCGAGGACTTCATCCCTGCCATGGTGTGTCGGACTTGCCAAGTCTATCAATAACAGTCAAAGTCATCTGAGTTGGACACCGCTACTCGTTTACAGCTATAGTGTACAGCTTCTCTGTCAGGCTCCTCTGAGTCATTTCTGAGGCTGAGCTCTGCTGGAGATGGGATTCCAGATTTATGCAGAGAGAAATATTTAGCGTTGTGCTAAGATATGTTTTTGTTGCAGGCAATATGGTCCCCTTATGGCACAGTAGTCTTGGTACTCCTTGTATTTCAAGAAGCTGACTTAATTGCGCACTAAACATAATTCTCTGGTAGGAGTAGCAGTACTATAGTAACATGAAAGACTTGGCATGTGAAGCGTTTTTAAATTTACTTCCTACGTAGGTAAGCCTTAACTTTGTGAACAGGAGCTGTGAGATCTTGCAAATTCCAAGGAGGACGGGACAGTTACCTATTTTGTGTTCCGTAGATAAACAGCTACTTGACTTTTTAAACTTTCTAGAATTTGGAAATTAAAAATCAAATACGTATGTCTTTGAAGGAGCTGTATTTTATCTTCACTAATTTCTTGTAATGAGAATGTTTTTCCATTTGGCTTAAAAGTAAGGAAGCGATGTTTGTTTGGTTATGAGTCACTTCTGATATTTCTCCACATAGACTGTGTAGATAAGCTGCAGAGAGATTTAATGTACAAATTGCCTTCAGAGACACGCGTGTCCACTGGAATTCACTTAGAGCACATTGAGGAGTTTGGGATGTGATGCCACATAGCACCACTTAACTTTGACATTGATAATAGTACAGTGATTTTTATTAAATCTTATCAATATAGTAGTAACTGTCTTCATCCCTCGCTTCCTGTAGATATCTGTCAGCAAGATAACTTGGAGGGGATAAAAATAAGTTGTTAATTCCCAGAATATAGCTACAAGCAATGACTTTAGCAGTTCTGGCAAGATGATCAATTTAAACACTAACAGTGATTCCTATATATTTTTTTAACCAGTCATACTGCATGGTGGTCATTTTAAATGGAGATCTAGCTGTCCTGTGGTAATTGCTCTAATCAAAATGTCAGGAGCAAACCCCAACACAGCATCACAAACTGTAGTTAGTGAGATATTTGGAGCGCCTGTGGTCATGACCCCTGCAGACCTGACTGTTTTAGTCAGAACTTGTGTGCTATCTCTTTCCATTTTAATTCCCTGCACTTACCACCCCAGAACCCCACAGTATTTCCTTCTCGTTCTTCTTCTTTTGCACATGACCACCTAACTAGACTTGGAAAGAATAATTAATGGGAATTGAAAAATCCCTTTCAACCTTACTGGCATTATTGATGTTTGTATTGAAATCTCGTAGACCTTGTTTAACCCTTGATTGCCTTCTGTGCCTTCCCTAATGCGCCCATTAGTGTTTTTCTTGGAACAACCTTGCATGCTGGGCTCTCTAGTTTTGTTTTAACTGATTGAAAGCAGTTTGCTATCAATCTCTAATTGGAGATTAGAATCTCTAATTGGAGTCTGTAATTTTTTTTCCCCACTGATTTGCCTGTTACCATTATGACAGCAATGAAGTAATGGTGATACAACTTCACTTTTTGCCTTCAAAATCTTCCAAAAGGCCACGAACACAGGGCTGTCAGGGGTCTCGTCTGGCTGTTGGGGCTCTGTTCAGAAGCTTGTTGGGCGACTCTTTGACCTCAGGTCTGTAGGGTTTATGAGGAATAGCTTAGCATTACTGCTGATAATAGTGGTGAAACCACAGAGAGGTAAAAGTGTGCCTGTTCCCCAACCCGCTGTTTTGTGCAACTGTTAAAAGGCGTAATTCCTTTTCTCACTCAGCCTGCAGCAAAGCATGGTAAATGTCACTAGTGCAGCAGATATCTCAAGCTACATTACATGAAGCATTACAGACAGAAAACTGAACAAGCCTGGAATTTTTCGAGATGGTTTTGGGAGCTGTGTAGTCAGTTCATTGTGTCCTTCAGTGTAATTTGGGTACCTTTGTATATTCTGTGTTGCCATTTATAAGCCTCTCTGGATATCTGATAAATAACCTCTCAAAAAGCTTCCTGAAAAATACTTTAGTCTGGTGGTACACAAGGAGATAACCTTGGAGATTTGGCCAGGTGATATCTTACTACTTCTCAGAACTCATTGCAGAGGGTCTCTTGCCTCTGCATGGCTGTCTTGTGCAAGGTGACCCCCTCCAGCTCAGGTGTGTTTTCACTAATTGCAGCATAACCAATATGCTTTGCAAATAAGCAAGGAAGAAACATAATAACTTTAAATTATCTAAAAGATACGTTTATGATTTAAACCAAGGATAGCTTATCTTGACATGTCCTGTGTTGCTTGACACTTGGTGTTAATGGTAATTAGGTTTTGGTAAGACACCCCTGGCTGCAGCCTGCTCCTGCGGCGCTGGGGTGGGGGCAGCTTGGGGATGCCTCTGTGCCGGGCCACCTCCTACTGCTGGAAATCCAGCCCAAACTCAGCATTTCAAAACACTGCCCTAATCAAAACTGCTTGTCTGTCACCAAATCACTAATAATCCATCAATCTTGATTCCTAACTGCAGGATAATAGAGTGGAGGATCTAGTATTGACTTTTTTTAATTCTGCTGGGAGCTTGCTGTGTGTGTCAGCAACAAGACAGCATTCTTCAGATGGCTTTCACAGTGCATGGTAATGAGCAAAAGACTAGTAATCATCAAATAACCCCCTATTAAAGCCATAGTGATAAGCATCAACTTCAGCTGGCCTCAGTATGAAAAGCTTGCTGATTTGATGCAGCTTGTAACAAAATGGTTTAAAAAGATCTAAACAGAGTGGATAATATCCACAATTATCCAGTGGTGCTTCATTAGAAGGAGGTATTGCTGTGCTGTGCCCCTGACAGGCAGCGAGAGTGACGAGCAGCACTTGAGTAACACCCTGGACTAATAAGCAGATGGGCCTGGCATGGCCAGTGGCCAGGGGTGGATCTGCTGGGCTTGGGTCCTGGTGTGAGAAGGCAAGAGGGAAGGTGCTTAGCTCATCGGGTGTACCTTTAATAGACATGACTTAAGCCACATTTTATAAGTTAAAAAATGTCTGTGTCGCTACAGCTGTTTATCTGGGGCTCATCGTTCAGTGTTTGTGTAGACCTCCTGGTTGAGAACTTGCCGTGTAAGTGGTTTTACACACACAAAGATGCAGTTTCCTTCCTGAGACTTAAGTAGAATGTAAACATAACTTTGTAAGGAGTCTGCATGTGCCCTGGAAGGAATTCTTCCCCGCCCAGAACCTTCTGTTGTGCTCTCATTGCTGTGTGAACAGCCTGTTTATCTCAGACTTCTGTCATATTTTTGGAGATGCAAATACTGGATTCATAAAACAGAATTGAAAGAGGAAAAAGACCAGATTGATTAGGAAAAGTTTCAGTAGTTTGGTTCCCAAATCTGCCTGGGATAGCACATTTCCAGCAGGAGGGGATGTTTGTTTTGCGGTCATTTTAGTTTTGTTTTGTTTTGGTTTTGTTTTTTTTCAAAGGCTGAAGTACATTGCTGATGCTTACAAGGTTCTTCGTATTCTAGGTAGCTAAATGTCCAGAAAGAATCCATTTATTCTCTGTAGCAGTCTATTAAAAATGTACCAGTCGGAGAGAGGAAATAAACTGAATATGGTTGTAACCAAGGAAGTCTGAAACCATGACATGTTATCAAAGACAGAAGAGCTTCTACTTTTTAAAGAGACGACTGTGTGAGAGGTTTTTGTAGTCATCTTTGAGCCCGTTGGTTTCTAACTGATTGCCCTACCATCTGAGCATCCTATTTCTTGGGTTGTTTTTCTTCAAAAAAAAAAAAAGGTACTTTTTTCTGTGTACCTGTAGGATTGCCTTTATACACCCAGCATCCCACATCTGAAACATTTTGGGCAGAAAGAATCATGGTGACAGGAAAACATAGAGACTTTTCCAGGCTCGGTGCCAGTGGCTGTGTGCCGTGGTCATGGGTAGCTCCAGTGGGAGGCAGGGACGGGGGGCTGGCATCGCAGGCGTGCACTGTAAAGCAGTGTTGGAGCAAGGGCCTGGCAGCTGCCTTGCACGACGACTGGCACTGCCATGTCTTTGATGGGACAGGGTGCTGCGTGGCAGGAGGAGCCCCACGCTGCTGCTGCGACTCCGCTCGCTCACGCTTGCGTGCGAGGATGGCAAGGCGTTGGGAGGTGTGTGGCAGCACGCCTGGCACTAGCCGCGAGACAGTGTGCAAAACTGCCGTGATCACGGAGCAATTTCGGCTGTGGACAGTCTCAGGGAGCAACATCATCACTTGCTTGCTGTCAAAGAACAAAATTTGCTCTTGCAAATCAGCAGTAGTGAGGGCTATTAAATCCTTTGCGTTTCTGAAATATTTTCTGTTTTTTCCCTCCAGATGGCAGCTCTTCAGAGTCCTTTCTATGGAGATAAAATGAACCTGTTTTCTCTTTGCCAAAAAATAGAGCAATGTGACTACCCACCTCTTCCAGCTGAACATTATTCTGAAAAGGTAAATTGGGAACATTTTTGCAGGGGAATGTGGTGGGGGGGACAGTGAAGTTCCTCCCCGCACAGGGGAAAAAGAGCCCAGGAGAAGAAGCCCCCCAACATCTGAGGCGGAACAGGAGATGGCCAGAGGGTCCTGGGTACCTTTAAAGCTGGCTAAGGAAACTATTGTTGTGATGTCTGAATATTGACAAGCTAAATTAAGACAGAAAATAAGATTTCTTAACGTGGGGAGGATTTTGAAACTGAAAGTCTGTGACGCTGGCAAAAACCAACAACGAACCGTGGGAAAGCCCTCTCCTTTGTTTCCTTTCCCTTAAAATAACATACCATAAAACAGTGCTTAAATTTTTGTTTATGAAGTTTTCAGTGTGTAACAAGGGGGGAAAAGATTCTTTTTAAGAAAGAGAGGGCAAGGAAAGCTTTTTAGTTTAATGAAATAAGCATCTATACAGCAGCTGTATGGGGGCTTCCTAAAGTCTGGGTTTTGCGCATATGAAAGCGAGGGATGGAGGGCAGTAGCTGAACCAAAGTATATAAAAAAAAATTGTCACTGTGCATGCTTGCTCAGCGATGTTTCACTTCAGCTGCAAACACACATGCTGTTTTTGTTCAGGGCCTTTTGAGCTGGGTTTTTTTAATTATTTTTGTCCCTTACCTAGACAAACCAGCTGTTTTTCCTTACCTCCTCATTCAGTTACAGTTGCCTCCTATTTGAAAGGAAATGGCTAATGTAATTTTAAATGTTCACCATATCCTTTGGGGGTTTTCTTTTGTTTTATTCTACCTCAGAGTTCTGAGGAGCAAGAGGCAGGATGCAGGGGAAATACTGTACGCAGCCGGTCTGGTCTCTACCCTGAGAAGGGACCCTGCACCACACATTTTACATTTTACTTAGTTTTTTTACTTGCTAAGTAACTCATGCAAAAAGATTGAGAACCGTTCTGGAAAAGTGCATTTTTAAATTATTCCCCCCTCCCCCCCCCCCCCCCCCCACGCCCGCCGC